AATATAATGAAATATCATGGAATATCATGGAATATAATGGAATATAATGAAATATCATGGAATATCATGAAATATAATAAAATATCATGGAATATAATGGAATATCATGGAATATCATGGAATATCATGGAATAAAAAATGGCAATCCCCCCATAAAACTTTTTGCCCGTAAATTATGAAATACTTCAATTAACAATTCTGATGGAACAAAAGATATATCATGCAGGAAATGATCCCACGACCATGACTGGATGCATAACTTTCTTGTTTTGTTCGTTGAAAACATTTATGGAATTTCTTTCGTGATATTTGCAGCTGTATTATCGTCTAATACCCGTTCATGGTAATCGGAATGTTGGATTTTTGCACTTGGTAACCCCGTTGTAAAGACAATTCCGCAGCTGCATATGTTCCACATTGAATTCTCAGAATTACCCAATAATCTATTTTATTTTTTCAATGAAAATAAAAATGGGGAGAACGGAGGTAAGAGCAAGTCTCTCATTGTACGAGAGTACCAATTGTGAAAATTGGAATATAAAGGGAATCGTTGGTGGAAGTTAGTGTCCATTTCGCCTTCATGTTCGATGTTTAAACATTTTTATCTGAAATGAATTTTCCTTGAAAAACCATTTGTTAAGCGTTAAATATAAAATATAAAAATTCAGGAGAATCCATCCGGGAATTAATTTTAATCAATTAATTTTCCAATTCTGGGTAATTTAGTATTGATTATTCATGTTTTCATTTAAAATTCGAATCAGTTGAGGAATTCGCATGTCTTACTATTCAAAAATGTGAAATTTTATTGGAGTGTATGGAAAAGTTGAAATTCCATGATTTGTTCCTCCCCTAAATCAAACATAATGACACTCTCCTGAAAATTACGGTTCAACTGTGCATGAAATTTCAATTTATCTTGACAGTATAATACAACTCGAATGAATTAGGTCTCATTTTAGAGCCCGAAAAAAAATATCTTCCGAGTGAGAGAAAAAATATTGAATTTCACTTCGCGATCGTGAATTAATGTCGCTTAAAACCTAAAAAAAAAAATGATAATAACGTCTAAATTTCTTCGGATTTCTGCAACATTATCTTTCCCCATAATTTCAAGTATATACTCCACTAATTCCAGTTATAACGACCACCATTAATTGACCATCGTTGTTTATTTTTCGCGTCTGAAAAAGGCCATACAAACGGCCTCTCAACATTTTAGCACTGCAACGCGTTAAATTCATCGCCATCATAATATGCAGTTGAACAAGTCTCGTATTGCCAATTTAGGGGATATACAGCCCTGATTTTTACAACTCCACATACACCAAGAAATTGTAGAGCCATGAACGAGTAAAACCATATTGCACAAACAATGATAAAAATTGGAAAACAAGATGTATGTACAAGGCGAAAATTTTTCTCAATTACGAAAACAAGTTTTCCGTTCAATAAGATGATTATACACGCGATGATGCTTCATCATCGATAATAATATGTTAATTAAATCCAGTACTATTTCGAAACAGTCCAACGTCTTCCGCATGTAATCGCTCCGTCATTTTTTTTTTCTTCTTTTTCATTCAATGCCGTCGGCTGACAGTTGTCTCAAGTATTTAAAAACTTGAATACTCGATTAAGTTTACTTTTCATATTTACACATACAATTACATATTTAACGAAGACAATAACCGCAATGTAAAGAGACGAGAGGAATAAAAGTAGAAGAGGATTTAATTCTCGCTCGATGATAATCTCATCATTCGGATTACTCTGGAGTGTTGACTTGACGATTTTTCCCACGAGTCTGAAAAAATTGTTTGTGCCAAGGTTAATCTTCAATATTATCGCCCACTGATTTTTAATGCCAATGGATTATGGAATGGAATGAAATGAAAATAAAATGGGGAGTAGTTGTGGGAGATGTCAATGTGGCATTGATGTTTGGCTTCCGGTGAAGATCTCTTGTTACGGATTGAAAAATATGATGAAGATACTTGGGGTTCCATTGGTGGACCCCATAACAGGGATTGGAGGCTCCAGCAGATTTCTGAGGGGAAAGGTAAAACCAAGGGAAACCTTTTTCCCCACTCTCTCGTCACCTTGGACTCGTTGGAATGCGTGTATGTGAGATAAACCAAGTACGAGTGGCTTGAGGTATGTTAAGGTATAGGTCAGTTGGACAAATTTAATGGAGAAATATTCAATAAAAATTACGGCACTCACTAGTCACTGACCAATTATGGAATGGACTTTTTTCATCAAGGATTCATATTTTGAAGATTTTTGTAATCGATTGTCGTGGGCCGATCGATCGAATCGCTCAAGATCGATATTCGCGGTTATTCTCTTTTTATTTTTATTGCTACAAATTTCCACGTGTCCACGTTTTTTTTTCGCTTATGGACAATTAGGAGAAATTTATAAATTATTCGACTTTGGGAAGATTGTAAGAGTGTGTTAAAATTATTAATGCTTTGATTAAGCTATGAATATTGAAAAGCCACAAGTGAAACGTGACTGAATTATTTACTAAGATCCATTCGATCCTAATGCAGCTGTCAAAGTTTTTTGACTATTAAAAATCGATTTATGAATTAATTTCTCCTCATAAGGCGCGAGAATAAATCTCCACTCAACCTTCATCCCTCCATTTGCTTTTACGTTATTTTTTTTAAACAAGTTTGTGTCTCGATTGCGGAAAGTGTGGGAATAAAAATCGAAGAAAATCGATTCTCCATGAATCGATGCAGAAGGGGTAGATCTGCTGCCGATCGGTCCTGAATGATAGGTAGATCCGATCCGACGCCAGCAATCTTTCTTATAGATCGATATATCATTATATCAAAACAATTTTTCTAACAAACTATCATGATAAACATATTTTTAATAAATTAATTGAATTTCAATTAATATCGACGACTCAGGCTCAACAATACTCAGAGATGAGAGAGAAAATTAATTAATTTCTCGGATGTATCAGCCAATCGGAGATAAAAATTGAAAAAGGTAGCACATATATACATACGCATGTAGAGAATACATAATAAATATATATGTACATACCGGCGGACACACTCCAAAAATCGAATTTTCCGACTTTTTGCGCGACAAAGGCGTGACACAACACAAAAAATACAATAATTAAATTTCAACGATTACAATATGTCATTCAGAAGCAAAAATACCCTTCAATTACACACGTTTTACGGAGTGTTGCATAGTCTTTCGCAGAATTGCCATAATTTTTATCGGATTTTTATTCTCGCCTCGGGTCCAACGCATTTGTGCTTGCCGAGATGAAAAGTGCAAACCTTATAATTTAACCATAAAACAGTTAATTCGACACTCATGACAATAACTCGCCACAAATTCAGTTTCGGAATATTTTTAGATATTTTTATCCTCCCATAATTCAATGCTCATTTTATCCTTCACGCGTTGTAAATTTCCTGTCTGTTCCGTTGGAACTGAAGGTGAGGGAAAAATGTGGATAAATAATGGTGGACAAAGGTGATGACCTTGCCGAATAATAATTTACCCGTCATTGTGCAGTGCTCGTTGAATTAATTATTCGACATTACTCATGAACTTCGGATTTTAGTGCTTTCATTATTTTCTTTTATCATCAGTCGTTATGAGATTTTATGCGACGGTTGATGTTGCTGATGATTATTAAATTTCCACACACAGCTTCGAACTTTACGAAAAAATTGGAATTGCGTAATATCGATACAGACCCACCGATTCATCGATATAGTTCGGTTTTTGACATTGAACAGAAGGTGTATTCAATACTCAAGACACGTACCACTCAACAGTTTCACTCCTGTTTTCATAAATAGAAAACATTGGGGAAGATGCCCAACTACCTGAATAAATTCTCTCAAGGGCTTGTTTCGTTCAAACATCACTTGAAATAATTACATATACCCATTGCAAATTTTCTCGAGTCTTTAATTATTTTAGTAAATGTCTTCGGAATGTATATTTTTTTCGTTAAAAATCAGAGCTGTTATCTCATTAAAAAGAATTCTTTTCCTTAAATAATAAATTATTGGGAAGTTGATTTGAGTAAAAAAAATTAGTGTCCAAGGGTTCAAACTGTTTTTTTTTTGTTTATTTAGGAGAGGCTGATGCTGAAATAGTAGATTATGTCATCAGGCATGAGAATTATTTTTGTAACGAAAATTTCATTAGTTTAGAAAATATCTTAAGAATATTTAAGTGCCTGGGCAATTTTTGGGGGGTCTGCGCTTTTATTTTCTCAACCTAAAATAATTGTTTCTTTCAGAATGATACATCAGGCCCTTTTTTTCTATTCAGACATATGAAAAATTTAATGAAGTTTTTTAATTGAAATTTAATTTAAACTCACATAATTCAAAATTCAAATAACTTTAGGAAGGAAATTCAACGAAATTATTAACAGTCTATTCAGGATTTATCCAGGAGTAGATCGCCTACAAAAATAAAAAAATATCTGGTAATTTGAGTAATTCAATGATGTATCTTGAAGTTGGAGGAAGAAGTTGGAGCTGTGGAAGGAATTCTCTGAAATTGTTGCCGTTTAATCAGAAAATTTAGTGATTGCAAAAATCCCTAAAATCCCGTCAACCCACCTAAAAAAGAATCTCCCATTTAAATGACGTTAATCATCAGAATATCGATAAATCTTCGAATATTGAGCCACGACAGATAAATCAAGACTCACGAAGGTCACCTCATTCCAACAGCATTTATTCCAAGGCCAAATTCAGAAGAGATAGATCTCCTAGTACATCTGCTGCATCCTCTCTCCGGAATAAAAAAATGCGAGGACGTTGTGCCCTCCGCGATGTTCATCCGCGTCTGTCATGTACCCGATAATTAATCTCCTCTGGTATTTCCTCCATAATTTTTTCCTCAGTTGTATTTCAAATAGCAGAATACCATTCAAACGGCAGATCAAACTATTTCCGTCATTCATTATCATTTCAATTTGATATTGATATTATTGATGAATGTAGGTCACGTTCGACGTAGCGGGTGTCTCTTTAAAATGGAGATAATGTACACGCACGAGACAAAAGAAAATTTCCATACAAACGCCACGACTTTCACGATGTTTCACTTTCTTGGTGATTTGGGGGATTAATTGAGATTGTTTATTTATTTATTTGGGGCCGTTGCGTAAGGGATTTTAGGGGAGAGGATTTCGGTGGCTGGGGGCCAGGTAAATCTCTGAATTGGAGTGGCTGACTGCCAATGACCGAACCCTAGAGCCAATCACTGATCCAAAAGGTTCTGGGGAACAACGAATGGACGATGTGGGCCCACGTGATGGCTAAAGTTGTAATTCCTGGTATTTTCTACTGAATGATGCGCTACACTGTTGCAAAATTACACTTGAAATTTTAACTGAAAGAACTTTAAATTCTCACATTAAGGAGCTGGCGATATCTTCTTATTTTTCATGTTTGTGCTCAATTTATGGCGAACCCTGGATTCGATTGACGTGCCGAAATATGTTATTTATTGATTTAATTTATTATTCAATGGCTCCCAAATCGTCTATTGGCTATTTCTCAAAATTTGTGGTGAAGTTTTGAGAATTTTTGGAAAATTTACTGAGAATGTAGGGAAATTCTTCTACGATCGTAGAATTTCGTAACAGATTGGATAATAATAAAATTTTAAAACTATATTTTTCGTATCAATTTTATCAAACGGGGTTTTCAGAAATTTGAGAGAAAACTTGAAAAATTACGAGGTAACGGATAATTTCTTGAATCGCGACTAATTTTCATTGAGGAATCAGTAAATTTCCTGAATACTCAAGCTATTCTCAGCTTTCGGGTTCAGACCGCATTAAGAAGCCTTGAAGATGATGAAAATAACGTCCCTGGATTCCCAATCAATTGAAAAGTGAATTATGTTTGACGTTCAATTTTCACGGTGGGTCTAAAAATTAAAACATCCATTGAGCAATCAATAACAATTTAACATGAAAAATCAAATTTTCTCGAATTTGAAAAATTGAAAAAAGATTTATTGAGTTTTGTCAACAGAAATTGAATTTAGACCGTCATAATTGAAATGTTAAGAAATTATTAATAGTGGATACTCGTAGAAAAAAAGATTTCTTTCCAGCCTCAAAACAAAAGTTAATAATAAATTAACATTTCTGAAGGCCAACAAATAGCGAATTAAACCGTTTACTTGAATTTTCTAAAACTAAGTTACATAACTAGGAATTTATGAATATATTTTAACCAGAATTTTCCTTATTTCTATGAATTTCTGTACGATAAATTAAATAAAATTATCCGTTCCCATTTACTTCCTCATAAAATTATAACGTACAATAACAAAACTCCTTGAAATATTCGTAAAACCAATAAAAAATTTCGAAAACATGTAAAAATGAATTGAAAAAATGGGATAAAATTTCATCAGGCAATCGTTGCAGCCTAGAACTGCGCAAAACGAAGACAACGAAAAAAAAAACAGCGATACATTCTGCTATGCGTAGCAAAGTTCCAGCTCAACAAAGAAACGACCAAGTTTATGTTAGATAAGACTCGGTACGTGCTGGCTAAGCCAAACAATTAAGAAGAAAGGAACTCGAGTTGCAGGATTTAAACGGAAAACAAAGTGACTGAATTATTCATAAAAAAAAAGCCAATATCATTAAGGAAAGCCGGTAATTACCCCGTAAATTACCAAGGTTCAAGTGAAGCGGTGCAATCCCCTGAAATGCGCCTAGTGGACATCCCAGAGGCGATAAGAACCTTAATTACCCATTTGGTTTGTCGTTCGCCAAAACGAAAGCATTTTCCCCAACTGGTCAATGCCCGAGTGCCAAATTGGCCATGGCTCTGAATCCAAATGAATAAATAAAAATCAACCGATACCAGGACAAACTCTCATTCGTGTGGAACTCGAACAAGGTCACCTAGACCCTACCAACACTATCGGCCCTCACGTGTGGTCTATCTCCCTCCTCACTGGTGGAACGTGCGGAATGCACGGTGTGGAAAAAAAAAACGAGAACCTCGAAGAAAGGAAAAAAAAAATAACAAAACATAATGTATAAGATGGAGACACGAAACCACCGAATATCTTTCTGCGAAACCACTTCCTCCTTCTTCATTCTCGGTATCCAACCAACCATACCCAAACGGCACAGAAACCCAAGAAGAGAAATTCAAATAATGGAATACCCCTTAAAAAAAAGCGTCCCTTAATTGTAATTTTTCAACGCCTCATTGTCTCCTTGAGTCTCCCAAGAATTCAAATGAAAAAAATGGTAAATGATAAAATGGAGGACAAGGAAACGGTTCTGCGCCGTAACTAAACAAGTTCATCGTCCGCTCCCTTGTCCCACACCCATATATCCCTCTCAGTTGCCGCAATTATTATTATCTCCAGTTGTGCGAAGACTGGTAAGAGCGAGAGGAGCAAGAGGAGCAAGAGGAGCAAGAGGTGATCCTCAAGCAAGTGGAGCAAGTGGAGTAAGAGGAGCCAAGAGGAGCAAAGAAGAGAGATTTGGAATGGCTTTGTGTGGTGAGTGAGTTTATCTTGGAGCCATATGTGTCGGCAACCACCTTGCCTGGCAAAAGCCCTCAATCCTCATCCCAAAAAATGTTGATTTTCACTTTTTGGTGGATGACAAGGCAAGTGTCACTGGCAGCTAAAACTCATGACTCCCTCAAAAAATCAAACCTCACCATCTGGTGGTAGCAAAAGCGCTCGCATTTCAACCCCTTTTTATTCTCATTGTTGAAACCAAGCAAAAGATATTTCAAGTTTGTGGTGAATTCACAAACGGCGGGCTTTTATAACCACAGGTATATTTACGTATGTTATTGCACGCGCCAACGCTAACTCAGGCATATTAATGCCCCCACCGAACGACAATCCATATAAATTATTCTAGCATGGAGTTCCTCGAGCCGATGGCATCGCGGGAGTCTTCAAGGGATAAATAAAACACCCGAGGCAAGAGTCGAGAGCCTTTCCAAATGTACACAAAGAGACGAAATATACATTTAGTTCGCACAGTGTCATCGGGGGGGATTACCCGACGTATTTCATCTGGGGCTTTTTCCTTCTTTTTTCAACATTAAGGCGGAGTTTGCGGCTGACCTAGGCAAACCACGTGTCGAGTTGTCTCTTTGTCCCTCTCCATTCTCTTTTCCTCCTCTTCTTTGTACTCTATTGCTTTTATTTCCTACGCTTGTTTCTTGTTCTCTTTTTTTTTCTCTCTCTCTTCCTTTGTTTTAATCTCTTTATTCGCACTCGCGATTCTCTTATCTTGCCTTTTCAAACCGAGATTAGCTCGTTGCGCAGTTAGCACACCATCCCAGTGTCTCTGTGACGTGTGTGTACATAATCCAACAGTATAATGGAACACAACGGGGATGTTGGAGAAACAATGAAGAGATTGCTGCATTAGGAGGTATGTGTTTATGTGTTAATGCGTATGTGTATGCGTGGAGAATTGACGAGTGAACAAACGGTGTTGCTCGTTTTGTAACAAAGGACACGTGAGCTACAGGCCAAAGTCCTTTTTTTTTATTCAACTTCTTTCAGTTCGAGGTGTTTCTTCCGTTTTGGGGGTACTCGTGGGGAATACTAAGTGCATCGAGGAAAAAGGATGATTACTGGGATGAGAGTCGAGAGACTTTTGGATTATCGTGATGATTCTGATGGTGCGGGAAATACCCCGGCGACGACCTTGCAGCCCAACCAGCCCAACCAACCAACGGGACAGGCTTGACGACGTGACCAGGATGTTTATCGACTCATTTTCCAGGGATGCCATCTACGGAATCACAAGTTCCGATGCTATTTCACGCGGATTCTGCACTTGTGCACAAAACCGTGTGTTTAATTTTAACGTACTTTTTTGTTATTCCAGTGACGATTTCATGGGATTTTATTCTCTATTGATGCCTGATCGAACGGGGGGCTTGAGGTCTTTCAGTGGATGAAGCTTTTCGGAATCTACATGGAGATGGAAATATATTTCAGTCTGGGACTGATAGGCTTGATGTGGTTCTTCAGGGCACCGATTTTCAAGTAATGTAAGTACAAGTAGAAGCATCATGTTGAAGAATTCGGTTATTAGGCTATATGTATATGCCTTTGGCTTTTATTATTCTTATTGCGTAGATGCTTGAGGCAAATACTCAATCACTTTCGGAGGACAATTGGTATTTATTGAAGAATTTCACCCGGACTTTGGCCGATCGGACCGCAGAATTTTCGAGAAAAGCGAGTGAAGAGACCGCGAAATATTCAGGCTAAGAGGCAATACCCGAAATAAAACCATCTCGAATTCGCTCTAATTGGCGATACCGAAAAAAACATCTGTAAAATTAATAATTTCATAATTTCTTTCCCATAAATCGATTTTAATAACCGCTTCCTAGAAATAAAAAGTGGAAAGTGCGTGAAATTGTATTTTTCTCGAAACATTCTATATAAAACCGAAGTTTTAACGATTGCAAGCCTAATTATTATTCCACATGAAGAGGAAAAACAAAATATATAATACGTTGCTGGATGTAAGCCAACCACCACCATCACTTTCGCTGGAGCAGTTTCCTTTTTCCTCGTGCACACGGTGGCTGAAGAGGGCCATTTTGGAAACAACCGGTTCTTGTTGCCACTCTACAATATATCCCATCATTAGTCTCACGAGAATCAGAAGTGCAAAATGATGAATTAACGAAGACATCTATAAATAGAGAAGGACGTCTCCTGTGTATAAAAATCGACTGAAGTGGAAAGTAATGAAGTCAACTGATTATTTTTCTAGACAGCAGCATCGTCTAGCAAAATATTTTTCCCAGTTGCCAGTTGAAAAAAGAAATCCCGCCCCAATACCTATTTAAAGACGGCGAATGAATAAAAAAGACGATGTTATGAAACAAAACGAGAAGCTCCAAGTGACCAAACATTCTCAGCTGGATACATAAGGGAGATTGATATCTCCACAGGGTAGACTTGTGCTTTCAGCCAAAGCACACACGTGAAAGTGTGCCATCGGACAATTGCAGTGAGCACCAGAGGAAATCCCCAGCGTCATTTCGTCGACGAGGTTTGCCAAAGAGTTGACCGCTTTTCTCGCCCGTGAAACGTTTTGACACAAACATATACATCACGGCATTAACAACGCCTTCTAATTTGAAAAACAGTAAACAAAAGAAATAGATGTTAACGTCACATTCGGCTCGTAGCCTATTTTTCAATCTCCACGAGGCCGTCAAAATATACAAGATACAATAATAAAATACCTGATAAAGACATCAGGAAAAACAAAGAATACACTCCTTTCCGGTAATTACACCACTTCCGTTGTCAAAAAATATTCATGCTAATGGGACCCAATTTTTCATTGTTCCAAGTGGTATGAAAAGATGAAAAATGGCAGCGGGGGGAAAATGGCGGTTGTATGGGTTGACACCATTCTGCGTTTGCTGTGAAGTTTTAACGCTTTTGGAATTCGAAACGGATTCATATTGTTCAACCGAACAAACGTCTCGGTGAAAATAAAGAGAGGAATGAGTGAAAAGAGAGAAATGAGTTAAAAGAGAGGAAAAGGGAGAGTTTACAGACGAGAGACAGATGTATGGAGTACTAGCACGACGAAAGACGTTAACGTTTGCTGTTTTCACGACGAAGATTGGTCGCAGGTGGCCAGTACAGCAACTCTCAGCACGTGTGGTACTTGCTGGCTGAATAACACGGGTTTGTTGCACAAAGTTGCATCAAACAGAGTCATGTTACTGGTGCAGAATCAAAACACGATGGTTTTGTTTAATCGACGAGTTTCGGCCATTTTATTCGGTCAAATTCTTCAT